TTTGATATATAGAGACTATTTCCGATTAATTTTAATAATTCTTAAGTGGTCCTTCATTTATTGGGGGGCACTGTATAATATTGATGTTTATGCTTAAATTGTATAATAAAATCACTAAGTTTCCTAACTTTATGGATTGCATGATCTCTAGATTGTTGTAATTTTTTGTTGTCTTTTTAAAGTTGTTTATTCTTATTATTTAATGCTTTTAACGACTTTCCAGGTTTGTGAAAATAATTGGTAACATATTGAATTGCCTTGTTTTGTATATAAGATGATATAATTTGATCCTTATTTTTTCCATGTGGATATTTCATTATACATAAGAGGTGAGATGCTGACTTGAGATCTGTAAATTATTAAAGATTGTATTATGGATTATTTTAAATCCTGGATCAGTGGTTTTTTTATTTCATCAATAGATTCTTGACATTGGTTTAGTTTGCGCTTTTTGTCAAGTGATTCACGTGCACATTTGAGATGAGGTTGACGTTTAGAGGGGTTAGGCATTATTCAACAAGAATTTGATATTAAAAGTTATAATTTTTGAAGTTCACTTGATATGCTTTTAAATTTTTATTAACAAAGGTCAATTTGAAACAATTGCTTGTTTTTTTTAGTAAATTGATAATATTATAAACAATTACAAAGGTCAATTTATAACAAATCCAATTATAAAAGTCAATTCGTAACAATGCTTATTTTTTTTTGTTTAGTTAAGTGTACTATTATATGTACTTGTAACAAAAGCCATGTTTTAAAAAGGTTCAGCATTAATACTAACTCAAATTTTTAAACAAAAGTCAATATATATCATAATAATGAGCTTTATTTTAAAACTATAGAGTCAGATTTTTAGTAACAAAGGTCGAATTATCCACAAATGCATTATTTCGGATCAGAAGATATTGAATAAGAACAAAAGACAAATTCCCGCCAATTCAATGCTTAAAAATATCTAAACGACTAAAAATTTTAAACTATAGTTTGTTTTAATTATGTTTTAAGAGTCTTCTGTCACAAAGATTGCGGTAAAAAAATAAATTTTATAGATGAAACGATTTTTCAAACATTAATCTTTTATTAACGACTTTGTTGATCAATATTTATGCATAAAATCTAATTAAACGTTACTATTAATGCACCTCACATGATTTTGATTAATCAGTATATCAGAAACTCCAACGAAAGATGTATTATGCTAGTTTATTATAAGCTCAAAGCAAAGATGATATTTTTTAAACCTATTGCAAATGCCCAAAGTAAAAAAATTAGCAAAAGGGCCAACGAAAATTAAGATACGCTATGCTTTTTACCTTAAATGTTAATAAGCAATGAATTTTGTTATTACATCTGCTTATTGGGGACTAATAGTTGGGCGTATCCATTCTTTATAATTCGTTTTCGTTTGAAGTGGTGTTGTGCAAAATCTCTCGCCAAATATATCCCCAGCATTATACTATAAGTTTTAAATTAGAATATAGTTTACATAAATTATGAAACAAGATATTAAAGAACACTAACCCGGATGCTCATTAAAATTTGATAAAAGATCATAATCTGTTCCAAATCTCTAACGTTTTTTGGAATATTACACGAGACCACTTCAACCAGTAGATATATTCCAGGAGAATGCAATTCCATGACACACACTGACATTTTATAGCCATTTATAAAAGTGACTATTCGTTTTGCCCCATGTGGCTGTAACTCTATTCCTTGTTGGTTGATATTATAATCGATGTCATCTTTCGCATGTGTGGCACCACGATAGATGTCCCAGAAAGCTTTGTGTGGATTATTTTGACGTTTTGGACTGGTCACTTCGCCAAATACAGCCGTACGAGTTCCATTTCTATTATTTAGCTTGTAATCGGGTACCCGACCACAACCACGGCGTAATTTAGATGCATAAGACCTTACATCTATCCTAAAAAAAATAAAATCAATTGTATTTTAAAATTAAAATACAAAATATTTATGCGTCATACCATGAATGCGTAGTTGTGTAATTAAAATAATGAATCGTCTTATTAAAGAGTGGCGCAACATAATCCACCATGAATGTTCCTTCTGTCAATTCATTCATGTTCACTAAAGAATCCCTTAACACACATTCTTCTAACAATCTGAAAAACGTCCTGGATAATAACTTTTCATCAACTTGATTCCCAACATCGCGTTTAAGAAACCTTTCAATTTCTTCCAGACTACATTGTTGATAATCCTAATAGAAAGTAATATAAAAACTATTAAAGCGATTACTTTAAATATAATATAAACCTTATTCACAAACCTTCTTGTTTTCTTTCACATACTCCTTAACTCCATTTGGAATCTCTATTATTTCGAATTTTGAAATGACACGTGACCGAATATCATTGATTTCATCTGTTGTTAGAAAACCAGTATATGCCTGCTCATTATTTTGTTGAAAATAAAAGATCGACGAAGCACAAAGTGCATTGTTGATATTTTTCTTTGATAGGTGAATTCCGTGAATTAATTGTTTAAGGATATGCTGTTGCCATTTCAATAGCTTAAATTCCCAACTGTTAGTTCTTTCGGTCTTTTCCGCGTCCATCTCTTGGATTTTTGATATTTCGGAGGGTTCAAAGAACAACATAGCTTGTTGCTGCAAATAAATATACATTATCAGATTATGTTAACTTTATATGACCATTGTATAATATTTTTAATACCTCAAATTCTTCGTCATCAGTTATTGGTTCAGTATATGTTGGTCTTTTCTCAGCTCTCTAAATGTGGTTTGTTAGAATACAGGAATCAAATTATTCATTAAAAGAAAACTTGAGTTGTTACCCTTTTTTTGGGAGACAATGCATTTGTATAATTCTTGTCCGTGTGATCTTTTCGTTTCCCCCCTACCGGCTTTGTATGAACATTGAAAGTTGTAGATAGTGCATACTGTTCCATTTGTTTTGTTGTGACAGCAGCGATTGTTAAACGTTGCTCTGCCTACACATGGGGAACAAATAAAGGAAGAATGAAATGTCCTGAATTTTATTGATGAATTCTGAAGAGAAATGCTCTATTACCTTTAATCCACAAATTTTTGCATCAACCTTTGACTCTTGTAAGTCCGCCTGTTTCTCAGCCATCGCGTTAGCCCAAAAATCGTAAATATATCCATCAGTATATAAACCCTCCTGTGAAAGAATTAAATTTAGCCGGCTAGTTTTAAAAAAAAACAAATGAAACTAAACCGGGGTAGCCCACACTTCTGTAAGTTCATGAAAGGATTTTGGCGGAACCGTAGTCCATCGCCAATCAAGAACCGTAGTCTAGTGGTTTGCTTCAATCCCAGTTGCAAACAAAGTGGAACCGTAGTCCCCCATGCTCCTTGCCACAACCGCCATATAACTTGCAAAAGTTTGACCTCACCTTAAATTGATTTAACATCCTTTCGGATGCTTCCTTTTCTTCTTTGGAACCCGTATTTTTAAACCAGTCAAGTTGTTTGTAAAGTGCGGTTGTAAGCTTCCCTTTGTTCATTGGATGCTTAGCCGCACGCCATTCCTCATGATATTCTAGAGCATCCCAGACTTCGCATGGTGTTGTCAAGAAATAGGAAAATCCTGGCTTCTCTTCAATTTTTGACATGGTCTGATTTTTCTGGGTAGACTCGAGATCAGCGAAAAACCCTTATCAATCAGACTCGAGATCGGCGAAAAACGCGACGCGAAAAACCCTTATCAATCAGACTCGAGATCGGCGAAAAACGCGAAAACCCCTTATCAATCACATGACTTTTCACATAATTATTTATAGTAATTTAATATAAACTTTAAAGCTAAGATTATTCTTCGTTTATAAATATTTTTTCTCAATTTGATAGAAAATATGATAGAGAATAATTTTACTGCTACCTCCAACTCAATATTCCTTAAACCCATGAAGTTTTATCTAGAAGCAAGTGAAATTTTTCTAGTAAACCTTTAAATTTTAAATTTAATATAAATTTTTTTCATTGAGTCAAAATTTAAAAATAAATTTCATGGGTTTAAGGGATATTGAGTTGGAGGTATCAGTAAAGTTATTCTCTATCATATTTTCTATCAAATCAAGAAAAAATATTTAAAATTTATAAATAAACAAATAATCTTAGCTTCAAAGTTTATATTAAAAAATTTTTTATAATGACTGGTATACATTTTGTTTATTGAATATTGTATTAAGCACTTTTAAGTATAGTGTACAGCTCTATCTATTCCCTAAACTATTTAATATAGAAAACTATCTACTGGTCAGCTTATTGTTCTTTATATTTCTTATATTATTAATGCTGGGGTTCTAATAGCATAGGTAAAAAACTAACTTGCCAGTAGGATTTCTAACAGTACCATTTCAGTATCAAATTGATATTGGATTTACTATAAGTTTAATATAGTAAGTTACAACTTATATATTAAATTTGTTATAAGTTAATATTAAGTTGGTATTATTTTGGTATTTGGTTTGAAATCCTACTTATTAGAATATATGTCTCTAAGTCCTCATGCACCATCTAATAAACAAGAACTTAAAAGACTATCTGAATATAGTTAATTACAAACTAGTTATATTTCATTGATTTTAATTAGATCTATTAAAAACAACAAAGTAAAATAAAGGTGGATATGTATGTTTACATGTGAACATCTATAGTAATCTTATAGAAATAACCTATAGAACATATTTGTGAAACTACAAATAGAAAAAACTACTTATTGTTTTAAAAAAAACCAGTTTTATATGCTATTGTAATTTTTAAAAAAGTTTGTCATTAGCCTAAAGTCCTTATACCTTCTTATTAATTTTTATCTAGTCTGAAAAATCTCCAATTAGAATCAACTATTTGTTTTTATTTCAAGTAAAATATTAGTATTGCTATTTATTATGATCAAATAAAGTTTAATCACAAAATATTTAATACTATTTAAACAAAAGATTGAATACTATGCTACAAGTAAAGTTTGTAAAAAAGAATAAAAATATTGGTTTTTATTTCTATTTATAATTATATATTTTGCCATGTTAATATTGTTGTTGTGTTTTGTTAGCCTGTATTTTTTAACTATATAAAAATCATTACTTGACTTTTTATTATTATTAAATTAATACAAATTTTAATAATACTTTCAGTTTGCTATTCAAAGTACTTGTTTGAGAATAAAGAAAGCTATTTTCAGCCTTATAACTTCATTATTAGCAAGAATTATATTTTCAGAAAGAGTACAATATAGTGATACTAACTAATATACTATATTTGTAAATTCTTTAATAAAAATTTTCATTCAAAAAAAAAATTTTTAAGAAATATAAAGTAAAAGGGAAAGAACTTTTTTAAAAAAAAAAAGTTTGATAGTTAATCTTTAATTATGATCTTTAATAATATACCTATTTGATAATTAAGCAACTAAAACTTATTAACTCTATATATTGTTCCCAACTTCTTAAACTTTTAGAGCTTAGGCTAATTAATAAGTATTTATAGCATGTATACTACTTTAGTAATAATTATTATTTGTTAATAATTAACTTATTGAAATACAATACATCTTCAACCTGCTACTATTACTTGAAATTGAACAGTGATTTATCATTATACTATAATTTTACTAGACTCAGTTTATATTAAATTATTAAATAAAAAAAAATTATATATAAATAAAACCAATAAATAAAAATCTGTAGATTTATAGCATAGTGATTAGTACTTTACAGGTTAAATTATAAAATACTAAATTAATTTCAGATGAAAATAATTAAATAAAATTAATATAATTAATTGGTCTGTAATGGAATGTCTATTAGGAGATTAAGGATATTCCTTAAGGAGTCACACTTCATTTGGCCATATGGTCTCTAGATTTGGTAATGTCTAACCAGCAGTCAAAACTGAAACATTTACTAGGAAGTGTATACTTGTATCAATTGGCACGAACTGCAGCTGAGGTGAGTTGATAATAAGAATAAGATGTAATAAGAACCCTTATTATGGTTAATAGGAATAAAAAGCTCTTTGAACAGTCCATGCCTGGGTTGTGAACCCACTCCTGTGATGTAAGTTGGTAATTAGGTTAGAAGTAAAGGTAGTGCTAGAGTTAGGGTAACTAGAACAATTAGTCAAACTCTTTATGTAACAATTGGAATTTCAAATGCTAAGTTAATAAAAAGTTCACATATAATATGCTTTGCCTCTAAAAAAAAAAAAAGAATAGAATTAATATAATATTTAACACTATAATCTAATATATACTGTTTTTTATATAAAGTCAATTTATATATTAAGCCAGTAAATATTAAAATTGTAATTTTCAAAAGAAGGCAATATAATATAATAATTATTAAAAAAAAAGTATATAACATATTTAAATATATAAACTGAATTGTACTTCATTTTAACTAATTCCAATAAATACATATTTAATAGTATACATGTTGCTAAAATTCGTAGATCCTTGATGCAATTGACGCAATTATTTGACGCAATTAATTGAGTCACTATTAAAACATATAAATAATTAAGTCATAATGCAATTATTTTTGAGAATTTTGGAAATTGAGTCAACAGCAAAATAATTTATGCCACATGTATATTTAATAGTAATTAAAGTTTTAGTCTGAACTATCTCAATCTAGTATAAATCTTAAAAAGATAATACTTTCCACAAATAGTAAAAAGTATTGTGACTACAAATCTTAAAATGACATAAGTTAAAATTTAAAGTTCAAGTAACAAGATGAAAAAAGATATTTGAATCAATTTTCTTAAGTATAATTTCTTCCCAAATTTAAAATATATTAAGTAGTTTAAAACTAGTATAAAATTTTTACCTTCTATAGATTTGTCTTTTTTTAAAAAACCAAGATAGGAAATTATTAAGTAATAAAAACTAAAGTATTGAAAAAAAATAATGTATAGGAATAATATACAAAATAAAAACTTGTATAAGTTCTAGAATATAATATAAATATTATTTATATATTAATAAAATACTTGTTTTTATTTGTATTTAACATTTTTAAAAAAAAATCCAAAGATAAGAAAAAAGACATTCAAAAGTATTAAAGTTATTAGTAGTATTAATTACATATTAATTTGTAAATTTTCTTTTATTTTAATATTTTATTTTATTTTTTTAAAGGCAAAGTGCATTATATAAATTATTTATTATTTTTTTATTTTTTTTATTTTTATTTTATTTAATAAAAGATTTTGTTTATTATAAGACTAAATTAATATTATTTTTATTTTACTCTATTAAGACTAATAATATTTGAAAATATTTAAAAACTTTATATTAATGAAAAACCCTCTTCTGATCATGTTTGTTTTGTTAAAAATTTTTCTTTTATGATAATTTTAAGTAAGAAAAAATGTTTTATTCTCTTTATTGCAAGTAAACCTTAGCTTAAAAACTCAAAAATCTTCAAAACAACTGGTGCAGTAGAATAGGACCTCTGGTCGAAGTCTATTTAAGTTTGGAAGTCTTGCTTATTCTTTGGTTATATAAGGAAAGGCCTGTAGCAGTTTTCTTTTCTTCAGTTCTTTTGCATCCCTCCTTACTTTTATTATATTATAAAAACCATTCACATTATTACTATT